CCAGCACAAGTCAATCAATCAGCTGCTGAGATCCAATCCTGGTTCCCTCCCCTGACAGCCTCTCGGCAGCCTCTCTGTGCCTCTGCCTTCTCTCTGACGTGGGGAAGAGGAATCGCGCACAATCCCCTTCCTCCCTGCCCTGCCCAGAACACAGCCTCCTGCACCTGGCCCTTCCCTGGGCCTTTGGGTGGCCCTTCGCCCTCCACCTTCACCGGCCCAATGAACCGAAGCCCAGGTCCCCGACCAATGGCCTCAGAGCCCAGGCCACTTCTGCCTGCCCCGCTGCCTCTGCCCCCTGTGCCCTCCAAGCCAGAAGTGCTCTCACTGTGGAAGAAGAAGGTGAAGTTGGTGGCATTGGGCAGGCTGGTGTTGCCGGCAGTCCACCAGGATCTGTAGGAGTTGGCGAGCATCAGAGGGCCCGGCTCAGTTCTCCCCTCCTTGTGCTGGAAGCACAGGAGGCCCTGGGCCTGGCGGCTCAGCAGGAAGTTGCTCTTGCCGTAGAAGAGGCGCAGCTCCCCAGTGTGGTGGCTCCAGCAGAGGCAGAAGTGGTAGAGGCCCCTGCGGTCAGGGAGGGGCTGGGAAGCCCTGGGGGCTGCCGGGAAGGGGGCACGCACTATCAGGGACCCCTCGGCGTTCTGGATGGAGATATGGAGCTCAGACGTCTGCTCATATTGGAGGTGGCTGAACTGCTGAGTCTGGTTCCTCTGGCCACAGAACCGGAAGTCTTCCCGGGGGCATCCTCCGAGGGCACCTGGGAGAGGCAGAGGCCAAAACTCCAGGTGGGGCTCACGGGCAGCAGTCCAGAACACAGAGCCCAGCCCTGGGATTCACACGCATTCCAAGGACCTCGGAGGATCTACAAAACGGTCTCCAACTACCTTGTCAAAAACTCACTGGTTTTAAAATGAACAAACGAATGAATAAGTTAATCATTTTAAAATCCAGGGATAAAAATGACAGCAAGAACGTGTTTGGTGTGATGAAGGCTACCCTGCACGGTTGTGGAGGCTGTGCACTGCACAAGGATACTCTGGCTGCAGAGGCCAGTGGCGCTGAAATCCTAGCCTGGTCCCACCCTGCCCAAGCTGTGTACCCTGTTGTCTGCCTGGAGAACCAAACCCTACACCCTCAGCTAGCCACTTGGTTCTGACTGGTAGCGATCCCATGGCACAAAGTTGAACTGCTCCTTGGGTTTCAAAGACTATGAAGCGTTATAACAGCGGTTCTCAACCTGTGGGTCGTGACCCCTTTGGGGGTCGAACCACCCTTTCACATGGGTCGCCCGATTCATAACAGTAGCAAAATGACAGCTGTGAAGTAGCAACCAAAATAAATTTATGGTTGTGGGGTCACCACACATGAGGAACTGTATGAAAGGGTCATGCCGTTAGGAAAGTTGAGAACCACCGCTTTATAAGAAATTGAAAATGATGATGGCAACAAATGTACCAATGTGCTTGACACAGTGTATGTATGTATGTTAAGAGCTGTATGATCCCCCAATAAAATGATTTTAAAATAATAAGAAAGGGAACATAAAGAAAAGCAAAAAAAGAAAAGAACTGCCTTATCTAGATGTCAATGGGATCAAATACTAGGCATCAGAAGACCCAAAACAAACAATCATATCCATGGGAACGAAGAGGGGGTGTGGAGACCCATAGCCCATCTGTAGACCATTGGACATCCCCTCACAGAAGGGACACAAGCCAGTCAGGGTGCAGTGTAGCAACGATGAAACATACAACTTTCCTCCAGTTCTTTAATGCTTCCTCCCCCCCCACTATAATGACCCCAATTCTACCTTACACATCCGGCTAGACCAGAGCATGTACACGGGTACAGATAAGAGCTCTCAACACAGGAAATCCAGGACAGATAAACGCCCCCAGGACCAATCATGAGAATGGAGATACCAGGAGGGGGAGGGGAAGGGGAAGGTGGGGGGGAGAAAGGGGGAACCAATCACAATGATTGGCATATAACCCCTTGCCAGGGGGATGGGCAACAGAAACGTGGGTGAAGGGAGACAGCAGACAGTGTAAGATACGAAGATAAAAATAATTTAAAAATTATCAAGGGTTCATGAGGGAGGGAGGGAAAAAAATGAGGCGCTGATACCAAGGGCTCAAGAAGAAAGAAAATATTTTGAAATAGTTGATGGCAACATATATACAAATGTGCTTGGCACAATGAATGTATGGCTTGTGATGAGAGCTGTAAGAGCCCCCCAATATAGTCCATGACGCCACCAGGGCTCCTTTGTGGAAGAAACAAACTCACTGCCCTCCTGACTCACACCGACCCTACAGGGCAGGGTAAAATCGCCCCTGTGGGGTTGAGACTGTAATTTTTACAGGCGTAGAAAGCTTTGTCTTTCTGCTGAGGAGCAGAAAGGCTAGTGGTTCCAAACTGCTGACCTTGCAGTCCGGCGAGTAACCAACCTTTCACCAGGGTTCCTGTTGGGAGAAAGGGGTGTCTTTCTTCCCTGTAAGGTGCTAAAAAACGATTCCTGCAGGCTCACCCCTGTCAAGAGGGGCCCCCCGGGTGCTCTGGCAGCTGCCCTAGATGCGGGGCATCATACAGGTCACAACAGCCCAAGGAAACCTTACCTGGAACCAGGAACAGCACACCCAGCAGGAAGAGGGTCATCGTGGCCCCGAGAGGTCACCACCTGAAAGGGACCAAGTGTTAGCAGAGGGCCAGGCCCGCATCGTGGGAGTCAGCCCTGCCAAGGGGCAGCTGGCCCAGGCCGGAGGCACCAGGTGAGGAGGTAAACGGAGAACCTTCTCCAAGCACTGAGCTGCCAGGGGGCCGAGTACCAAAAGGCAGCCGCAGGCAGCGGAAGCCAAGGCCCAGTGCCCCTCTCAACTGCAGCAGGACGCAGTACACATAGTGCCTTTCCCCAGAGCCCAGAAGTGATGGAACCATTTTGTCTCCAGCCCACAGAACCACCTAGAGCAGTGGTTCTCAACCTTCCTGATGCCGAGACCCTTTCAGTTTCTCATGTGGTGGAGACCCCCCAACCATAAAATTATTTTCGTTGCTACTTCATCGCTGTCATTTTACGACTGTTATGAATCGGTTGACCCCTGTGAAAAAGTTGTTCGACCCCAAAGGGGGTCACGACCCACAGGTTGAGAACCACTGATGTAGAACTACCACGACCCTGCCTCTGTTAAGTAGCTTGGATACGGACTGGGGGTTGTCCCGCCCCTGCCTGTGAAGGCCCCATAAAGGGGATTGAGAAGCCCATGAAGACCCCGAACCGGGCATGCTCCAATAAAGGTCCTGAGCCAGTGGGGCAGTACACCTGGGAGGTCCAAACTAGACCAAGGTGGGCTTAATTCAGCCAATGAGGTCAACCTCTATCGTCAACCACGCCTCCCAAGCCAGAGGTTTGACATACCCCAGCTGCGGGAAGGCGGAGGCTCCTGGTCAGCGGCAGGTTCACATTCACCTGGGCGGGTCCCCTCCGTACCTCTCCCGGCCTGCTTGGGACCCACCTGTGCCAGCGCCAGGCCTATTCGGAGCCCCTCTGCTCTCTTATTCTCTGTGTCCGGACCCCAGCGCCCGTTCATGCTGTGCCTCGCTCTCTGGCCTCAGTTCCCCTCTTGTGGGCGCGCAGTCCCACCAGGGTGCCCGTGTCCAGGTGTGAGCCCCAGGGACGCTTCCGGGTGGCTCAGCGTGTGAAACCTGAGACTTCTCCCGTCCATCCTAAAAACCCACTTGGGTTCCCAACGGGCTTCGGTGCGAATTCTCTCTCTGCGAAGCCAAGGACCGAGGTGTTGCAAGAGGAACAGAAGAAATCAGGTTCTCTGTTCGCCACCATCCCCATCCCTGAGAACTAGTTCGGAGGTCACCTCCTCCAGGAAGCCTTCCTCAGCTCCCTCCAGAGTCCGCCCCTCTCGCTCCCCCCACTGACCAAGGCCCCTCTGTTCGTCCCTGGTCAGCTCAGCAGGCGTGCGCCCTCCTCGGCCAGCGAGGGACCACGTGAAGGACCAACGTGCCCACAGTGCGCTCTTCGGCGGCGCCAGAAGGCCGCTTCCCATCACGACCACCAGAGGGTGCCAGTTCCCGCGATCCTGCGCAGCCTTCAGTCTGCGGCGGCTGATTGCTGGATGGGCAGAGTGGCAGACGCCCCACCCAGCGTAGAGTGGGCACCTCTGCCCCGCAGGACCTCCATCAGCTAAGGGTCGACTATGCCAGCCTCTGTGCTGTCCTCCCTCACCCCCTCTCATGCATTAACCCTCACTCCAGCCCTGGAAGAGCCCTCCACTTACTGGCCCATTTAATAGATTGCTCCAGAGACTGGGCTTTCTGCACTGTGGCTCCTGTCCAGGAGCCTGCTGCCCGGTCTCCCCCTGCCACTCCACCCTGTGCCCGAGCTGAGTGCAGACACAGGTGACCAGATACCCTCACCCTGATGGTAGCTGTGCCATGCATTGGCCACCAGCCAGTCACCTGGGGCCACCAAGGAGTCTGTCTGAGAGAAACCAAGGTGGGCTTCTAGGGAGAGGAGATTTTTGCATCGCATATTTGTGGACAGCATCACAGGGAGGGGTGTCCAGGCAGGAGCTCATTGTCACCTTCCTGGAGCAGGCCCAGCCAGGGCCGTGGAAGCCCAGTTTCTCGGGCCTCAATTTCTCACTTGCCCTGATAACACCACTGCCCACCCCCCTTTTCCCCAAGAGGAAGATTCTACCTGGGGAGGAGTCCTTTCACTCAGCAACCTCTCTAAGCCTCCTGGTTCCTGGTGAAACTGCCTCCCCAGCCTCAGGTCACCCTCTCACACCCCTCATCCCTTCTCCTGGCCAGACATCGGCTCTGTCTACCACCTCCTCCAGACAGCCCTCAGCCCTCCCACTGCAGGGCTGCCTTGCAGACTCCTTGCTTGCACTGTTATAGAGTCTGGATCCAGGCCAGACAGGGCCAGTGGCATCCTGAGGTTGCAGTGTGCAGGGATAGAAGTGGTCTGGACCCATGCCCCTCTCTGGCTCACTAACCTTCAGAGTGGACCACCAAGGTAGAAGGACAGATGCCCAGGGTGAGCGGCGTCATCTGCTTGCCTCAGCCCTCAGGGATTGGTGTGTGAGGACAAAGGAGGTGGAGACGGGGAGCGAGCGCCCCGTCAGGGGAAGAACACAAGTGAGGCTGAATGGGCACCATGGGAGCGGTCCAGATAGAGAAGAGGGAGGACCCCAGCACCTGCCAGTTCCAGTCTCAGCATTGCTCCAAAGTGGACCACCCTCTCCATCCCGACGACCTGGGTTCAAACCCTGGCTCCCCCACCAGTTAGCTGTGTGTCCTTGGGCTGGTTGCTCACTTCCTCTGGGCCTCAGTCCCGAGGAAGGACCACCGAGCTCCCTCGGGGGTGGATGTGAGAATGGGAAGAGCTAATGCCCGTGGTGGTGGCTTAGGACAGGGCCATGCTTAGAGTAAGCCCCTTAGCTGCCAGCCAAGCACCTCTGCTGCCTCACCACCACCACCACCCCCACTGCGCCGGCCACAGTCCCTTCACCCCCACCCTGGTACCAGCTCACCCTCCCCAGTACCTTGAGGGGAAATTCTTCAAGCATGAAACTTCCTTTCCCAGAAGGCAAAGGGAAGGTTGGAACCCCACCCAGAAAACTTCCCTGCTTGTAACCCCAGGTCTGACCTGCTTGAGGGGAGGGTGCGGGGTACTGGGAAGAGTGAGAAGATGCGAACCCAGACAGGCAGGGGAAGCACTTGGCACTGTTCCCTCTCCCTCAGAGCCCCCATGCCGATGGCCATCCCACTATGCTGTGGTGGTCAGTCAGTGCCCCTGGCAAGACACGGGCTGGGAACAGAGAGAGCTGGAGGCTAAAACCTAGAGCCATTATCTCGCATGAAGGCCTAGCCCCAGGGCCCCTGCAATGCTGGACAGATCAGCCTCAGGCCATCAGGTCCTGCCACCCACTCCGACCATAGAGACTCCCAAAGTCCCGTGTCACTTCGAAGGAGGTGTTATTGCAACAGTGCAGCGATCACATTCGACCCCCAGAGCCACCCGGTGAGGCTGGTCTGACTGTTTCCCCATTTTACAGGGCAGGAAAACTGAGGCTGAGAAGGCTGAGTCTGGGATTGCGCAGGGTCCTTCGGGCCTGTACCCACTCCAGAGCTGGCAGGGGGTCCCAGAGATACCCACTCCTGGCCGGGGGGGCTGGAGCCTCAGGAGATAAATGTGGGGAATGGGGGGAGGTGAGCAGGGCCACCGGCAGTGTGGGACTGCAGTCTGAGAGCAAGGGGCTGGGGCCGAACCCCTGGGAGCGCCACTCCACACACCCCTTCCCAAGCAGCCGCCCTTGGCCTCTGGCCTTCTCTCAGGGTTTCCGTAAACAGCCCAGAACACACAGTCCTGGCCCCACACGGTGGGGTCGCCACCGAGGCCCCAGCGTCCAGTGGAACAGAAGCAGTTGTAGCTGGTCAGAGCTGAGACCCCGTCCTCACCCAGAGCTGCCTGGGCCAGGGAAGGGGCCTTAGTCCTCATCCTGGCCCCCTCCAGGGGTGAGGAGAACCTGGGGGCCCTCTACTCACTTTCTCCCCCAGGGCCCTGAGTCACTTCCCCTGCCATGCTGTGTGGACCCAAGTCACCGCTGGCCCAGAACAGGCTCCTGGAAATCCCATTTCCTGCGGAAGTTCCCATGGACAGGACTGGCCGGCTCTGGTTAATCATTCCCAAGCTGGGGACACCTCCAGCGGGGAAACTGCCCAGTGGCCCGCCCTTTCCTCACACAGGACCTGCGAGCCACTCCCAAACTGATGCCTGTGTCCCCTCCCCCCCTTTTTCTAGCCTTGGGCTCACGCTAGTGTGCCCAGAATGCCTTCTCCACCAGCTCCTGAGATGGGCTCAAGGGGCAGAGTGGGGGGG